AACATTTTAACATTGACTCTATATCCCATTTAAACCTAACAAATAATAATAAAATAATTTATTTCTTATATCCCGTCTTTTGCCTGAGCAATCAAGGCAGCTTACAAATATAAGATACAAATTAAAAACATACATTACAATAACAACGGTAATACAATACCCCCCCAAGACTAAATACAATATTTTTCAGACTAGGCCCGATGGAGTTGGCCATATCTTGCCTATTTTCACATTAGTAGTTTATATTTATAGCCATATTTCTATTCTCAGAATTCAGTCAGATTGCCATGGCTGTCTGTATTTGCAAGATGAAAATAAAGTAAAATATGATGTGTAGTAGAACTTGGAAAATCTATTTGTATCTCCAGGCATTCTTCACACTTCTTCCTCATTTGACATTTCATTAAAGTGAAGGAAGCAAGAAGCTACCTGAGGTAAGATTATTTCTTCCTGAATTAGTCATCAAGTACTATCCAAGTATTAAATAAATTCTTTGTAACACAGTACTACATTAAGAAAAAAAAAGTTATTGTGGCTTTATCAGCTGTACAGGTAACTTAAGTCACAATTCATTTTTTTAACCCAAGGATTTTTTTCCTCAGTAAAAGTTATTTAAGCAAAGAGGGTGCTGCTAGATTAAACAAGCTACCAAATAGGGATATGATGAATATTTTAAAAAGTGAAAAACACATATTTTGATTGCGAAAACACTCCTGGACTGACAATAATTTTGCAGTACAAACCATATTTTTGCCAAATTTGCATGTGATTAGTTTTCATAAAAACATCATTGTCTGCACAGATTTTTTTTAAAAAAACAACAACACTATTTCCTGTGGAAAAAATACTGTTATCTCTGAGAAACAACCTCATGCAAATTTTATCCAAAACTGCATGCAAATTTTATACTGAATTACAACTAGGACTTGGGCAAAATAAAGCTTTAAAATGAGTTGGCCTAATGTTTGCAGCCACATGGTCCATCAGAATATAGAAGTGAAAACAGTGACAGTATAATCCCTTGATTTATAACAAAACAGTTAGAAAATAGTAAAACTGCAGGATCTTCAAGCTGTGTTATTAACCCAATTAGGAAAGGAGATTAGCTTTTCTGAAATGTAGAATATGTAAGAGTAACTTTAAAATCAGAACATTTTTTTTTCCTGGGGATGGAAATTTTTTTAAAAAAAATGATTGAAAAACATGTTTTTCCAAGTGTTAAGAAACCCTGATAAGAAGAATTTCAGATTCATGAGACTTCAAAGTTCAGGACATATTCTGCACAAAATTTACAGTTGGTTTTAAAATACTTTTTCATGGTGAGGGGAGGGGAATGGCTAAAATCAATTGCTTCTTTTGAGAAGATACATATGGAGAGTTAAGGCCTTTACACACTACCAAAAATAATGCATCTTGAGTCCACTTTAACTGTCCTGGCTCAGTGCTAGGGAATCATGGGAACTGCAGTTTATTGTGGCACCAGAGCTCTCTGAAATAGAAGGCTCAATGTCTCAGAAAAAAATACAGTTTCTATGATTCCCTAGCACTGAGCCAGGGCAGTTAAAGTGGACTCAAGCTGCATTATTTCTGGCACTCTATAAAGGCCTTTAGTTCTCTACCACCAAGTGATGTGGCATTTTCAACTGAACCTTGTCCTCTGCCTAACACAAATATTTCTATTTGAAGACATCATTCTATTGTCATTAAATGTCTCTGGCTACGATCAGGCTGAGATTGGGCCAGGACCATGGTGACTGTATGGCCCACTCTAAAAGTGGGCTGCCACCTCTGGTCCCAAGCTGTGCTGCCCAGGATTAAAACTGATCCTTTTTGTGGCAGCTTTGGTCTCCTTTATGTGACCTTGGAGCAGTTTCCAGCCATTCCAGCCATTCCAGTAAACACCATGCCCCCAAAATGACTAGAAGCCGCTTCTTTTAGTCCATGCATTTTGGGCTACTGTTAAACATTGTTCTTTCACTGCAGTCAATCCTAACCACTCTATCAAACACTACTGATGCACAACGTATGTTGAGATGATCTGAAAGACCATTATAAAAATAAACAGTAAGGTTCTGAACAGAAAGTGTTGAGTACCAAATGATATCAGGTTTTAGGACTCAGAGGACTTCTCAGCTTTAGATGGAACTGAATATATCTTTGAGCCAAGAAGAAAAAAATGTGTGCCCTTTACAGAGGGCTAAGACCAGGGGTAGGCATCCTTTCCCCTTTAAGGTCTGAGGGACTTCAGCTCCCAGAAGCCTCAGCCATGTTAGCCAATAGTCCCATGTTGGCCAATAGCTCCTGGGATTCTGGGAGCTGAAATCCCTCGGCCCTTAAAGGGGAAAGGTTGCCTATCCCTGCTTTAACTCTTTCTGCATTTTGTTCCAGATGAGCAGAATGTAAGGGATGAAGAGAAAATAGAAACCATTTCATGAACTGGTTTCTATACAATATAATAAGAAGCTTCCTTGTACAGAGCAGAATGACTGGTTCATCTGAGTATTGTCTCTCTGAAATAGCAGCTCTCCATAAAAATGTCTAGCCTGTCCCTATTTGTACACAAAATAAGTGCTCTGTTACTGTCCATGACTCTCCTTAGAAGTGATAATGGGGGGGATGCAGACTGCCCCAAAGGGGCAGCACAGAGCTGCCCCTGGGAGCGGTGGATCAGGGCTACAGCGACCACACACCGCAGTCCTGATCCTCCTTTTGGGGGTGGCAAAAGGCTGCCTTTTTAGCACTGGCAGCGGGTTTTTTGTGCCCTTTGGGTGCAGCGTGTATGCATGCTGCACCAAAAGACATCCTGACATCATGCGCTGTGTGAACGGGAGCATGACATCAGGATGGGGTCGGGATTGAGTTGGGGTGGTCAGCGTGCAGCTGCGCCACCCCAACTCCACCCCCAGGCTGGCCCTTTAAGCCGGTCTACAATGGTCCAATGTTTTAAAGCACAAAACTTTGAAGAACAGAGGTTGGAAAAGGTGGCATGTTGTTTTTGTTTTTTTAGTGTGTTTTGTATTGTTTTGGAATACAATCCCCAAATCCGTCAGCGATCATAATCCAAAAAGGTAACTTTTCCAAGCTGTCTTCAAAGGGTCACTTACTTAAAAATTTAAATATAGGAAACATGATGGCCCACAAATAAACAGAATAGATTTGTTTTTGTTTTTAAATAAATGTG